GTGAAATTTATAAATGATCAAGGGCGTTTTTTGTTTTTGTTTTTGTTTTTGTTTTTGTTTTTGCTGTCTTTTCCGAGGCTTGGCGCTGCGTGGGCTGTGCTGCACTCTTGGGCCCGAGTTGTGCCTTCCCCTCTTTCCGTCCTCTTCCCTTGCTGCGTGTGTGTGCGTATGCCCTCTCACATGCCTTTCTTCTTTTCACTCTTTTTTTTTTCTGTTCTGCATTCGCAGGTAGTCACGGCCACGCACGTCCATGATACGTGTATTGCTGTGGGCGTGGATGCTCCTTTTGTAGCCGTTGCTTGCAGCGCCACGTATTTTTACTGCTGCCGTTTCTTTTTGCTGTCAGGGCACAGGGGGAGGCTGAGAGTGAGAAGGAAAGCGAACGGAGTGACTCACGCTCTTCTTCTTTGCGGGCGCAGGGCACCGCGTGTAGGAGTGTTGTTTTGAAGCGCGGTGCCGCCAACTGCAACGGTGCGGCACGGGGTGGGCTGTTCTTTTGTCTGAGTTTGCTGCTGCTGTGGGTGCTCGCCCGGCGAATCCTTCGACAGAGCGTGTTCGCCTCCGCCGCGCCATTGCCGCGAGTGGTGGATTATGCCGTGAAGGCGGTACTCCTTGCTGGGGCGAGGCCAGCTGCTCTACGCGTCGCGCGACGGTTCCAGCACACCAGCAGCCCTTTGCTAGCAAACACCGTTATGCAGGTTTACGTGCAGTCCGAGTGCTAGAATTACGCGGTGGGGTATTTCTACGAGTGTGTTAAGCGCGGCATGTGCCCGGTGGATGAGTCGCTGGCGCTGGCTATCACGGTGAGTCGGGCGACGTCACGGTACTCCGCCCGCGTTGCAGGGGTCATCGCTTCTGCACTGGAGGACTTCTGCCACATCCAGGGTGTGGTGCTGCAGTACGTGTTTGTGGTGTATCGAGAGATGTCGCGTGGACCCGTCATTTGCCCGGACCCCGACCTTTCCCTCATCTCCCTCACCCACATCCCGCCACCACTGCCGTGAGATGCGGCCGCACATACCTGCGCCGGTACTAACAAAGCGCGTGCCGCCACACACATGCACGTGCAACAACAAGAAGAAATATTTATATATATTTTTTGTTCGCCCTCCGCTTTCTCCGCTGCGTCTCTGGCCGAGGTGTTTTGCTTTTTTTTTTCTTTCTTTATTATTATTATTATTATATGTGATACGCGCGTTCGGCATATTTTTGCCTGCCTGCAGGTGCCTGCGTATTGCCGCACGTGTGCTGAGGGTTGTTGGGTGAAATTCAAAGGGCTTCTGCCAGTAGACGCAGCGACAAGTAGGAGGCAACACCGAAAGGGGGAATAAAAAAGAAACGAAGAAAAAAGAAGACAATATACGGAGAAAACGACATGTCACAGATGCGGACGTTTGTTTTTGTGTCGAATATTCCTGACTTTTTCTTGGAACCGCTCTCCACCGCCAGCACAAATGGGACAACCCGCACACGTGCGAATCGTGACCCGCGGTACGAGCGACTGCGTGCTCTGCTGGCTGCTAACACCTCCGGCGTGATGCTTGTTATGCATCTCGAGACCCGCGGCTATGCACTCGCCCTGTACGCCTCGGAGCAGGAGGCTCTTGCGGCATGCAAGACGACCATCATTCCAGAGCAGGCCGGCCACAAACACCCACCGCTGCTCCTTCGTATACTTCGCCGTGAGCGACCGCTGCCGTCGGAGGCGGTGTACACGCCAACCCTCACAGTGGAGGGCGACGTTGTGCAGAAGGCGGAGCTGGCAGATACGCGTGGTCTTGAGTTGGTGTACCGCGGTCGTGCTGTTGCCAAGTGGTGCCCGCACACAGTTGCGCAGGAAGATTGCCCTTTTGGCACCGCCTGCTACCGCATCCACAGATGTGTGTACCAAAAGACGGTTCTTAAGCGGCCACGGGTGGAGGAGTTCGCCGCACTGAGTCAAATGACGACGGAAGAGAGGGTGCTGGTGGACCGCGTCGTGTGCAGCACACGCTGCACTGAGGAGAGCGTCGTCCCACCAGAGATGAGGATTGACTTCTCGCTGCATGTGCCCATAACACGTGATGAGGCTGAGGCTCTTGTGGATGGCACGACTGGTGGTACGTCTCTACCCGCGACTGTGCTTGCGCGGGTGGAAGCTGCCCGCGGCGGACATGCAGGGCCGTACTTTGTGAAGTTTGGCTTTCCCGGTGGGGCGCCGTGGGACTGGAGTTTGCACGACGAGGCGGAGGGTCTCTCGCAGCTCCGGCGGCGTCTCTCTTTTCCGGCCAATGGTGCCCCTACACCTCTTGAGCGCGACATCTTCTGCCAAGAGTTGCTGTATCACGTGAATCAAATGAACCGCTTCGACACCCTTCCCGCCGCCCTTCGCGCCCTCGCACAGAGTCCAAGGGTGGGGGAGGCACTGCGGCATCACCTGAAGAATGCCGCGGGGCGTGAATGCGAAGCCGAAGAGACGGGAAGAGGCGACATAGGAACGCTGGAGCTGTGCATACGTCCGTGGCTTTTCCTGCCTACCGCCGGTGTGGAGGTAGGTGTGCTCTTGGAGGGTGGGGGGGAGCAAGTGCGCGGGGTCGTGCAACGCCACAGTGCGCTGCGCCTCATGACATGCTTCTCGTTTTTGCAAAAACACGAGCTGAACTTTTCACGCTACGCCGTCCCTGGCAGCGGCCAAGACGTTGACGCGGAGACCTTTTTGGAGGCGGAGATGCGGCGTGTGGAGACGGCTGTAAAACGTGGTGTTGAAGGGTTGAGGCAGCATCTGCGGCAGCGAGTGTCTTTAGGGAAGCTTCCACCGCACGCTTCGTGGTGCTTCCAGCTTGCCGTGACCTCAGCAGCGACGCCCCCGTCATTGATGGCGGTCTGCGAGGACGCCGCTGCGATGCGGTGTGTGGTGCTGTCAATGAAGCCGTACTGGGAGGCGCTTGAGGAGTTCGCTGCGATGCACCCCGCGGGGCGGCGGGGTGAGGCGGGGAGTAGCGGGGCCACAGATGTGACATGGAACACGAAGCGGCACACGTACGTCGCGCTTTTCCCCCGCGAGCTTATGGAGCGGCTGAAGGCGTCGTAGCTGCAGCAGCACTGGGGGCGGGGGGAGTCCGGGGCTGGTGATGAACGTAATCCCCACGTGCGCCACGCTTGGCGACAAATCCCTTTTTTGTTGCGCCGGATTCTTTTTTTTGTTTCCCGCTGAACATTGTCGCCGCCGTGGCCGTTCCCTAATTTTTTATTTTGTATGTATGTTGTTTGCCTCTCTTTTTCTTCCTCTACTCCCCTGCTCCTGCCGCTTTTGCTGCCCGCACTTGCGATGTGTTGCTTCTTCCCCACCTGCCCATCTCTGCTGCTGGTAGCACCACGAGCGAAGGTGAGAGCACACCCCACACACGCCCACGCGCGGTCATCATGCCACCGAAGAAGCGCTCCCGCAGCAGCCCAACGGCCAAAGCGCCTGCCTCGCGGGAGTCAGGCGCGGCACATATGGCCACTACCACCACCACAGTGAATGAAGCGAATGCCAGCCCTCTGGCCACCACAGCGGGAAACAGTTGTGGCCGTGACTCTGCCTTGTGTGGGCCTGCAGCGTCCATTACGACTCGCGGCGAGAGAGACGTGAAGGCGCGCGGTACTGCAGAGCAGAGACGGAAAATTCCCTCTGACCTTGAGGGTCTTGTACTGCGCTCCACGGTGATTGCGCCTGACGTTGTCGGCATCCGTTGCATGGCTGTCCACCCAGGCGAGAAGGAGCTGATTTTGGCGCGGGAAAACGGCTCTATAGTTCTGTATGGCATTGAAAGTTTTCAGAATGTGCCACACTTTGAACTTATCCGCCACACTGGCGGCCGCACGAATCGCACCATCACGCGTGTCCGTTACTTGCCCTCCAAACGCTTGCTGTTTCTCGCGTCGTACCTTTCCGGCCAGCTGGTGGTGTACTGCGGGGAGACTCTCTCTCCGTTGCATGTGTATCAGCGTACGGGTGGCGCCGTTTGGGACTTCTGCATTGTTGGGGCGCACATCTACACGGCCATGGCGGATGGCTCCTGGCGACAGCTGTGGATGGACTACACTGTGACTGTGCCTGCCCTGACGCTGCGACGCATCATCCCGAAGGTGTCAGGCGCTGATCGGGCTCTAAGCGTCTGTGGCTCGGAATATTTGGGTATCGCCGCAGGCACTGATGATGCGGGTAACGTCGTGGCATGGCGGCTGCCACACGAGGAAGGGAAGGGTGAAGACGACGACGACATCGCCGTCACTACAGCCAGCAACCGAAGGAGAAAGGAGGACACCAATAATAACCCACGTGGGGCCCGTCCAATGAGTCTCAGCGATCATGAGGCGCTGTGGACAAGCCGTCTGCCAAAAGGAATGGGACTTTGTTGTGTTGTCGGCGGTGGCGCAAGCGGCGGTGCTCCTGTGGTGGCGGTTGGAACTTCGATGGGAGACATTGTCCTCTTTGATGCGCAACACGGGCATGTGTTGAACACCTTCACACATCACAAGGGTCCGGTCAGCACGCTGGTGGGCAGTGGTGGTGTGTTGTACGCCTCCGGCTGGCATGACTCCTTGCGTTCCTACCGTGCCGGCGCGGATGGTGAGTGGTTTCCGGCGGAAGTCAAGCGACGCACCCACTACCACGAGGTTAGTGAGCTGCTTGTGCTGCAGCAGCAGCAGCTCATTCTCTCCGCGGCGCGGGATGGCACTGTTATGTACGCCCCAGCTGACTCTGTCTTTACATCACCTGCAATGTATATCCCCGTGACGACGCAGAAGTTTGCCTTTGCCAAGGCGAAGAATGTCCTCTTGCAGACACGTCATGGGCGCATTGAGGGATTTCGCACCGATGCGGCGCTGCGCCACTGGATGCCGCTTTTTGCGTACAAGGTCCACGGCAAGTTTCACGTTCAGGGGCTCTGGTGTGATGAAAATCTGCAATACATGCTCTTCGCCACGGATGAGCGGGCGGCACTGCTACATGTGTGTTGGCGGGATGGAGCGGAAGATGCCCTGGCGCTGCGTCGCATTGAGGAGGTAGTGGCACTGCCTGTAGGACGCGGGGTGCTGGACTGCTGCTTCGTGCAGCACGGCGACGGAAGCGGCAACGTGGGATCCGCTGCGACCGCCGCGAGCTGCTACATATTACTAGACGACACAGTTCTGCACGTCACTCTCGCAAAAGGTTACCCCGTGGTTGAGACGGCGATGCGGGCATCCGGTGCCGAGCCGAATGGCAATATCCGCCCGAATCGCCTGCTGGTTGCCGTGGATGGGAAGAATAGCAGCCTCATTGTGTGTGGTAGGCGTGGCCGTCTCACCTGCGGCACTGCACCGGACGGCACCATCGACCCCAGTAGTTTTGTTTGGAGCCAGGAGTCCACACGGATGGCGGTATCGGTGCCAGCGCTGGGCCGCCACACCTCACCAACGTGCGTGGCACTCACAGGCAAGACGCAGTACGTGGCGGGCATTGAAACCGCATCACCATCGTTGTTGCCTCGCACACTGCCGCACGATGTACTGTTTATTGCCCGACTTCCATCACTAGCCAGCGGCGTGGCAGGTGCTAAGCGCGACGCCTTTCGCTTTCTCGCCTGCTTTTCCCGCGGCCTGATGTACGTGACGGAGAACTCGTGGTACATGCTGCAGCGCTGCACGGTGGAGGGTGCCTTTGTGCTGAAGGGCGACACGCGGGTGCTGCTTCTGGTACGCAATCTTGAGGGGACGCTAGAGGCCCTCCCAATGTGCTGGAAGGTCCGGCGCTTTGGAAACTAGGCCTCCGCAGCGTCATAGCGAGCATACACAGAGAGAGAGAGAGAGACATGCAGACAGGCAGGCACGGGTGAGGAGGAAAGAGTGAGTTGGCCATGTTTTGTCGTTCTCTGTTTTTTTTTGTTTTTCCATACAAATCCTGTTTAGTATACGCGTGATTGTTAAGGCGGGGTATGAAGCAGTGGTGTGCAGGCGAGAAGGCGGGGGCGGAGGTCGATGTGAGATGCCCGCGGCGAGTAAAAAGGAAGAAACGGAAAAACATGGGAGAGAGAAAGAGAAGGAAAAGGAAAAGAAACAATAGATTAAATAAAGTCGTTTAATCAGGCATGTTGTTGGCGCGACACATGTGAGACTCGCGTGAGACATTGGTGCCTTTCCGCTGGCGTCGCTGTTGCTTGTGGTGGTGAGGGGCGGAGGCGGGGGGAAGCCGAAGAAGTAGAAGCGAGGAGGAAATGAAGGAAGGTGCAGCAGCCGCAACGTAAAGGGGAGAAAAACGAACTCTTCGTATCATATCTATTGTTCCTACTTGCCTGGGGCGGCCGGGCTGCTCTGCGCCCACATCTCTCTGGCTCTCTGTGCTTGCTGGTGATACTCCCTCTGACCGTTTCTTTTTTTTTTCTTTTTCACTTCTCATTCGCGCCTCTGCAGTTCCGCGCGCTTTGTGTTGTGAGTCGCCGACAAAACCAGCTGTCGCAGGATGCCGCCAAAGAAGGGAGGAAAGGACACGAAGCCGGCGCCCAAGAAGGGCAAGCTTCAGAACATGAACAAGGGTGCCAAGAAGGCCACGAAGAAGTGGTCGAAGGGGCGCACTCGTGAGGCTCTGCAGAACGCCGTCGTGTTCGACAAGGACACGATGGACAAGCTTGTCAACGAGGTACCCAAGTACAAGGTGATCACGCCGTCCATCATCAGTGACCGCCTGAAGATCTCTGTCGCCCTGGCCGCCAAGGGCCTGCAGCACCTCTGCAAGCAGAAGCAGATCAAGCTGGTTTCGTGCAGCAGCAAGTTCCGCCTCTACACCCGTGTCTAGGCGAAGGTGGCGCTGCCACGCGTGAGGGAGGGGGGGGGGAGGGCAAACGCAAGGGAGACGTGACAATGATGCTGAAACATGCAAGGAGGGTAGGGAGGATGATGTGCAGTTGAAAACCTTACTTTGTCTTGGGATTCCTTCTCTTTTCTTCGGGCTTCTCCCTGTCTCTGCCGTGGCTTTGGTAGGCCCTGCGATCCACCGCGTCTGACGCGCCACCAGCAGTGGTAGGAGGAAGAGTGTGCGTGGAGCAATGCGGACTATTATTTTTTTCTTTCTTTATTTTTGTTTGCTTGAGGAAGGGGGCGCCAATGCTGGCGGGAGTCACAGTCCTCTGGAGAGACGTCCCTTGGCGTTGGCCGCCGCTTCTTCTTCACTTCCTCCATCCCTCAGCCCGATGGGTGCGGAGGCAAAAACAAACAAACAAACCAACAACAACGCAAAATGGATGGAAAGAATCCAAAGTAAAAAAAAAGGGCGTGGCGGGGGTTGGAGGACCACAACTTCCTCCTTCTCAGGCTTCTGCACATGCCAATGTAACACGCCTGCACACATATACATTTTTTGTCTTTGTTTCTCCTTATATTTTGTCTTGTGTGTGTTTTTTTGCCTCTCCGCACGAATGTGTTATTTGTAACCCGTATATACGTGGTACAGTAGGAACTAGTGTTGGTTGCTTTCTCACTGGATTACGTGTGTATATACATACATACATATATACCTCCCATATATACACACACTCACACAAATACATACCACAAACGTAAGTAATCATTGAGCTATTTTTGAAAGGATGTTGACTCGTCTTCGCAGTGCGGCGGTGCGTGGGGCCGCTGGCGTACGTGCCGCCTCAGGGACGTCCACCACAGATCACAAGGGTCGCGTCGGTTACGTCTCGCAGGTTATCGGCGCCGTCGTGGATGTGCACTTTGCGGAGGGTGTGCCGCCGGTGTTGACGGCGTTGGATGTGGTGGACAAACTTGGCCGTGATGAGCCCCTGACGCTGGAGATTGTGCAGCACTTGGACGCCCACACGGGCCGCTGCATTGCGATGCAGACGACGGATTTGCTTAAGCTGAAGTCGAAGGTAGTCTCGACTGGCGGCAACATCTCCGTGCCTGTGGGTCGAGAGACACTGGGTCGCATTTTTAATGTCCTGGGTGAGGCTATTGACCAGCGTGGCCCAGTTGGGGATAAGATGCGTATGCCTATTCACGCTGTGGCGCCCAAGCTGGCGGATCAGGCGGCAGAGGACACCATTCTTACGACTGGTATCAAGGTGATTGATCTAATTTTGCCGTACTGCAAGGGTGGAAAGATCGGTCTTTTTGGCGGTGCCGGTGTGGGTAAGACGGTTATTATCATGGAGCTTATTAACAACGTTGCCAAGGGGCACGGTGGTTTCTCTGTCTTCGCTGGTGTTGGTGAGCGAACGCGTGAGGGGACGGACCTCTACCTGGAGATGATGCAGTCCAAGGTTATTGATCTCCAGGGAGACTCGAAGTGTGTGCTGGTGTACGGCCAGATGAACGAGCCCCCAGGCGCTCGTGCCCGTGTGGCGCAGTCGGCGTTGACCATGGCCGAATACTTCCGTGATGTCGAGGGACAGGATGTGCTGCTTTTTATCGACAACATTTTCCGCTTCACGCAGGCTAACTCTGAGGTGTCGGCGTTGCTGGGTCGTATTCCCGCCGCCGTCGGCTACCAGCCTACCCTTGCGGAGGATCTTGGACAACTGCAGGAACGCATTACCTCCACGACGAAGGGCTCCATCACGTCTGTGCAGGCCGTGTACGTGCCAGCTGATGATATTACCGATCCCGCGCCAGCTACAACCTTCTCTCATCTCGATGCCACGACTGTGCTGGATCGTGCTGTTGCTGAGTCTGGCATTTACCCCGCCGTGAACCCGCTTGAGTGTGCCTCGCGTATCATGGACCCTGATGTGATCAGCGTGGATCACTACAACGTGGCACAGGACGTGGTACAGATGCTCACCAAGTACAAGGAGTTACAGGATATCATTGCGGTGCTAGGCATTGACGAGCTTAGCGAGGAGGACAAGCTCATTGTGGACCGTGCGCGGAAGGTGACGAAGTTTCTCTCTCAACCTTTCCAGGTGGCCGAGGTGTTTACGGGTATGACAGGCCACTACGTGCAGCTGGAGGACACCATTGAGTCATTCTCAGGCCTGCTAATGGGTACCTACGATCAGGTGCCTGAGATGGCCTTCTACATGGTCGGCGGCATCACGTCAGTGCTCGAGAAGGGCAAGCGAATGGCGGAGGAGGCCGCGGAGCTCGAGAAACTCCGCCGCGCTCGTGCTGCACAGGCCAGCCACAAAGACTAACCCAATGATCGCTGCACGCCTGTGGTCTCCCCTTCGTCCTGCCGCGTCTGCTCGTGCCAAAGCAACGGGCTACACACATAGCCGAAGAAGTGGATGAGGAAGTACATTTTTTTTTAAAAAAGAAGAAAAGGGTAAAAAGAATAGTCCCGAATGTTGCAGAAATAAAATTTATCCCTCCACACACAAACAAAACAAAATATAAAAAAAACAACAAAAGACCCAATAACTACGAAATAGAAGGGAAAAAAGTGTGGAGGGGAACGTAATGGGAGAGGGGATATATATATATATATATATATATATATGAGCCAAGAAGGGTGAGGAGCGTGCCGTAGCAGCAGAACTGTGTTTTTATAGGGAACAACTCCTTCTAATTTTGCCTTTTTCCCCATTGTTTTCCTTGCGTTCCTGTCGATGACGCCCAACACCACCTGCACCACAAGAAAGGGATTTGGGGGAGGGAATATGTGTACGTGTGCGTGCGTATGTGTCTGTGGCTCCGCCCTGGAGGCAAGGAACCAAGAAAGGACCGATATAAAAATTGAGGGGAGTGAGAGAGGTGACAGAAGAGGAGGACGAAGAAGAAACAACAACAACCAAAGTACACGAAAGGAAAAAGAAGAGGAGGCAAACAGAGAAAAAAAAAAGGGAGGGGGAGGCGAGAGGGATAGCATGGCTCAAGGATGAATTTGGTGGCAAAGGAGCATATTGCTTCCGATGGTGTATGGACGTGGCTGTTTATATTTGTGACTGTGTCTCTTTCTGCTTCTCTGCCTTTCCCTCTACGCGGGCGGGTATCGCACGGTATATTGACCCCTGCTGGGGTGCGCTAGTGACTTCTGCGTGGCCAACGGAGGTCGCATTTGCCACCGCTACTGTTGTTGTTGTTGCTTTCTTTTTTTTTTTTTTTTGTAGTTGCCACGGTGTGGATTGGTGCTAGCGATATCAACCGCAGGGTGACAGCTGGTAGTTGTGGCAAACACAACTTTGGGGAGTCTCCATCTCTATCTATCTTTGTGTGTGTGGAGGCCAGCGTGGGCGGTGCGCAGTACAATTACGGCACGGCGCACCGAAAGCACTCGGAACGGAGGAAACGAGCGTGTGGTCCGTGTGGGTTCTGTAGAGTGCTTTGGAGGGAGTTCAAACCAACTAGAAAGGCGAACAACAACAATAGAAAAAAAAAGTAAACGTTGCGTGCAGGTTATCTGGCCGTTTGTCTCGATGTTAAACTGGTGGCTGATTGTGCTCTTGGTCGCCGTTGCCCTGATGTGCGTGGGGCTTGGCGTCTATGTACTCTTTTACTTCGTCTCGGAGGAGGAGGACAGGGGTGACCACGGCGCGCGGGTGGTCGTTGTCCTCGGCATGGTGATTGCCATGGGCGTCGTGCTGCTGTTGCCGCTGGACGTTGCCAACGCCACCGACCCCACGGTGCCAAACAAGTACGCAAACACTCTCAACGTGCAGCTCATGTGGCAGATTGTGCTTTGGATTGTTCTCATCTTGGCCATCATCGTGCTACCGTTCGTGTTGTTCTTTTACGAGGCATTTGACCCGGAGAATAATAGGCTCGGCAGGCAGATTGGGCAGGCGCTGGTGTACTCCCTTGCCGTCTTTGGTGTGTTTGCCATCATCTGCGGGGTTTGCTACGGCCTGGTTGGGGTGGCGCGGGTGCCAGTGAGGGCGTACGTGGGGTTTCCGCAGCTTGTCCTAGATGTGGAGCACGTTGTGTACAACGGCTCAAGTGTTTCTTCTCATGAGGACATAGGCGTTAGCTTCTTCACCTACTGCGTCGGCATAATGTGTTTCCTTGGATGGATTGCGTTTTTTTTCTACGGTGGGGTGGGGCTTGTGTCCTTCCCCATTGGCCTCATCTGCAGCTTTGTGAGGCGGACCAAGGCCATCAGTGGATCCCGCTTTGCAGAGGAGATGGCCATTATCGCAGCCAAGAGCGATGCGCTGCTGGAGTTGTCGCTTGAAATGCAGCGGAAATGTCGTGGTAGCATCACTGCCTCACAGCGGAATAAAATCAACATTTTACGCAACGAGACGTACATTCTCGAGGCCCAGCAGGAACAGCTTATATGGGCCTACACAAAGGCGGGCGGCTCACCCTTCGTTGTCTACGGACGTCTTATGCTGGGCATCATTTCCAGCGTCATCAGTGTGGCGTGGCTGCTGCATATATTTGTCTATAACACCTTTGACGCATCCCCCTTCCTTAATGGTATCCTCACTTCACTGGATGGTACCTTTGCATTCTTCGGCGTCATCGCCTACGGGGTGTTTGTCTTTTACCTGATGTGGGTGACCTTTGAGGGACAGATGCGACTCGGCATGCGGCTTGTGTTTCTTCAGATTCATCCGTTGAAGCCGCACGACACGACACTTAACTCACTGCTTTTTAACGTGGCACTGTGCCTGCTGACAACCCCTGCCGTTGTGGAGTTTGCCGCACGCTCCTTTCAAGAATACGGCCCACGCACGGCGATCAACGCCCTCATGAACATTTACGTACTGCACCTTAAAGGCATCGGATACTTTATCATGTGGGCCCAGTTTTGCTTTGTTGGTGTCTCGCTGCTATCGGTGGTGTGGGTGATTCTGTGCCCTGTGACCAAGCGGCGCAGGGACCCAACGAAGCTGCGGCTTTGAGGCAGCCCTGGACGTATCTGAGTGTGGGGGTGTATCAGTGGGACTGTTTGCGGGCGAGAGGATACGACCCCAACTGCTTTTACCAGGGTGCATGACCGGCCCCGCCTGCCTTGGACGCCATGCTTCTTCCATTAGTGTGCCGGTTTAGCGCACGGCGGCCTTTGTGTTTTCCCCTCTTTTTTGTTTTTGTTTTTTTCTGTGTTTTTTTTGTTTGTTGGTCTCACTGCTGCCGCCGCGCCTCACGAGGCCCGCCATCCCTGCGCAGGGTGCTTCCACCGCCTCTGCTACTTCCTTTTTCTCTTGCTCACGCTGCAGGCGTCGTCGTTAGGGCCACACGCAAACCCTCAACGAAGCAAATATACATACATACATAACAATAATCAAGTAAAAAAGGAAGGAGATATAAATAAGGCAAATCACAAGACACACATAGCCAGAGACAGCAGAGAGACGTGGACACACACCCATACACATACACACACGGACAAACACAGACGGAGGAGACAAGAAAAACAAAAAAAAGTGTGGGGGGAAAAATAAAAGGGAAAACCAAAGGGAAGGAAAATAGAAAGTGCACAAAAAAAAGAAAACGTGGGTGTACAGGGGCGCCCTCATTACATTTCATTCATTGACTATCGCACACACACGGCACCCTCGTTGCAAGTTGGCTGTCGTGGAGCAAAAGACCGCAGCGAGTAGAGCAACAAAAAAAAAAAAGGAAAGAAAAAAAGAAAAAAAGAGTCATTGTGTATTGTATTGTGAGATTGTTTTTTTTTTTTTGTAACACACACACACATACAAAGGTTGGGGGAAGTGCTTTGTGGTATTGTATTTTGTATTTGAAGGCCTTTGCCAACCGCAGCGTGGCCTGTAGCGATGAGTGCCACACCGCAAAAGGCGGAGTTACCACAGCTTAGCCTGCCTGATGGTGTTACAGTGTGGGATGGGAATGTGCTAGACGATGCAAGGCGGAATCATAACTCTGATGGATGTGCTGATCGCCTCATGCAAACCATTGACATTTTGGGTCGGCGTAGTAAGGAGTCACAAGGCTTGAACACCGTATTGACTTCTGTCAGTCGTCTGCGAGAGAACCGTCAGGCGCGGATGTATCTTCTTTGTCATGGCGGCTATGGTATTGGTATTTTGAAGATGGGGGTGAAGAAGCTGTTCGTGACGCACCCTGCATACCCGGCACTGGTGGAGATTGACCCTTTGTGCGTGCTTGACTTTTTTGTAGACACCACCTCTCAGCGCTGCGGGTATGGAAAGACGCTTTTTGATGCCATGCTTCAAAATGAGGGTCTTAGCCCAGGGGAGGTAGCAATTGACCGCCCAAGCGTGAAGTTCCTTGCGTTCCTGCGGAAGCACTACGGCCTGGTCGAGTACACGCCGCAGTCAAACAACTTTGTGGTGTTCCACAAGTACTTTGACAAGTGGCAGCCGCGGCGTGGGAGGGGCAGCTGGAGCGAGAGTGCCGCGCCCACTATATCGCCTGCGCGGCCACAGGGCGGCAACCTGAGGCCCTCCCCTGGCTGCCGGGGCACGACAGGGGCAGATACCGCGCATCTTTTGCCGCTGGCACAATCAAGTTCACTTGGGCATTCGGTGTGTCCAGATTCAAGGGTGAAAACGGCGTATGAGTTGCAGTATGAGGAGTATATGCGGGAACAGGCGCAGCGGAAAGGGCAGGGTAACACAAATGCTGGGACTGACACTCAACCGGTCTCATCTTCGGAGGTTGCGGCGGCGACTTGTGGACAGAGGCGTCGTGTGTCACCTACCCGCAGTGGAGTCCCATACAACATTATTAGCGGGGCTCCAGAGCACTGATGTAAAAAGGAAGTATGTACAATGTAACGTACATGAATCGGGCGGTGGAGTTTATTTGTAGTCTTCCATTTGCACGTGCAATTTTTACGGCGGCCTTCCGTACTTGGGCTCGCAGCGGAGACTCTGGTGGTAATTATCACGCCTTCACTTTCGTTTTGGATGAATCGTGTATAACAACCTTTCGCCCAATACCTTTTTTATTTATTCGTTTGTGTGTGTGTGTGTGCGTGTGTGTTTCCTTTCTTTTTTTTTTTATATATCTTTGGGGGAGGGCTATTTTGTGGTTTTTCTGTTCATTCTGCACGTCCTTTTGGGTCCTCCCGCCGCTCACGTGGCGTCTCGTTCCCTGTGTGTAGGTGTGGGCGGAAAAGCGTACTCGCCGGCGTCCCACCGTACCCCCCGCCTTTTGGGTTTTGCTTCTGCTGTTTGCTCCTGGTGCGAAGCGTGGTACTGGCTTCCGCAACTTCTTCCTGCCCTCTTCTTTCCCCACGCTCTCGTGTGCTCTGCAGGAGTAGTTAGAGTGAACTGCAAAGCAAGTGTGTGGTTTAACATCCTTGAATACCAATGCCGCGGCCCTTTGGAGTCTGGGCGCCTGCTACGACGCTTGCAGAGTACCGTGCGCGTGTGCCGAACTTGTCGGCGTTCTCGCTGAAGTGGCTCTTTTCGGCGAGGCGGGAAGTGTACTACCACCCCGAGGCCCTCGCTCACTTCAAGGACCACCAACAGTACAAGGACGCCGTGGACATCGTCCGAGCGATGCACGTCTCCGACAAGTTCTTTGGTGAAGGGCAGAAGCTCCCGCACCACTTCTTGTCCAAGCTGACGGCGGTGGTGGTAATTCATGCTCTGCTGGTCTACTCCGTGGTGCGCTACTATTACAGCACCTACATCCCCGCCAATAACCCAACCTGGCGGAAGGTGGTGAACAAGGAGTGGGAGGAGGCTATCAACACCTCACCGTGGGATCACATGTCGCATGTCTGGCAGTACAGCGACCAGTACGCGGCGGTGATTGGTGAAACCGTCTCGCCAGGGCCGCGGAAGTTCTACATTCCGGCGTAGTCTTGTTAGTACATGTCTTAGCCTTGCCCTCTCACTATTTCCCTGCAAGCTATGTGTGCGCGTGTGCGTGTAGTATCAGTATAAAAAAGGGAATATATATATATATATATATATATAATAGGAGGCGGGGGAGGGGCTGGAGGGAGAGAGACATATTTATATATTTTGCAGTTTGCCCGTCTGTGTATTACTGCTTCTAGGAGCTTAGGGATAGTTGTATTTGCTGCCTTTATTGGTCTGCTAGACGCCGTCGTGCCGTGTACGCCTAGACCGATCAAGGAAAGAAGAAGAAAAACAAAAACACAAACCAACCAACAAACAGAAAAACAAGGAAAAGAGGGAGACGGACCCAATGAGGGAGAGAAAAAAAAGTGACGGAACAAAAAAAAACGACAGAAAAAATCAACGAAACCAAAAAATAAAAAAAAGATATATTAAAAAACCAGAGGGTCCATGGAGGGTAGTGTAGCAGTAGATGCCGCCCAAGGAGGAAGCGAGGGCGTATCACTTAGGGTGACACTTCAGTCGGGGTACTCGTGCGTCACTGCCGCTGGAAGTACCACTTTCGAGCGCGCATGTGTGGTGGCGTGTGGCATTTTTTTTACTGTTGCGGTTGTTTTGCCTTTCACTTGTCATCGCTCCCTCTCTTTCTTCTTTTCCCCCTCTTTCTTTTTTCATTATTCATGCATGCATGCAATGCGTGCGCGCGTAGAAGGGTCTTTTATCAATTTCGCTACACGTTACCAACAGGGAATAAACTGAAGGTAAAGAAGTGATGCTTCGCGCCACTACCTGTGTTTTCTGCGGCTGGCCTCCGGCGGTCAAACACTTGCAGGACAAACTGCTGATCAGCGGCAAATTTGTGCCGGCGGTTTTGGGAAAAAACGTTTGATGTGTTTAACTTGGCGACGGAGGAGGTGCGCACCCACGTTGCTGAGGCTGATGCAGCCGACGTCGATCTCGCCGTCGTGGCTGCTCGCAAGGCCTTCCACTACTACCGTACCACAGACGACGGCCCCTACCGCCGCAATCTAATGCTGAACCTGGAAGATATCATTTATCTCCACCGCGAGGAGCTTGCCGCAATGGAGACGCTGGGCAATGGGAAGTAATACGCTGCTGCGCTGGATGGGGATTTGCGGATGGTGGAGGAGTACTTCCGCTACTACGTAGGGTGGGCGGGCAAGGTTTGTGGGCAGGTGCTTCCCAGCAGCGGGAATAAGTTCAGTTTCACCAAGCGCGAGCCAGTCGGGGTGTACGTACAGATCATCCCATGCAACTTCCCGCTGCTCATGGCCGCCTTTAAACTGGCGCCGGCCCTCGCCATGGGCAACACCGTGGTGCTAAAGCTGGCGGAGCAAACTCCCCTAACGGCGCTTTGCCTTGGAGAGCTTGCCGTGAAGGCTGGATATCCGGATGGGGTGCTCAATATTGTACCTGGCTTTGGGCCAACAGTCGGCGCGCGTCTTGTCTTGCACGACGACGTAAACAAGGTTGCCTTTACCGGCTCCACCATTGTCAGCCACCAAATCATGCGGATGGCCGCGGACTCCAATTTGAAGCGTGAGTCGCTTGAGCTGGGCGGAAAGTCCCCGATTATCGTTCGCGCCGACGCCGACCTTGACGCCGCCGCGGAAGTCGCGCCGGAAGGCGTGTACGTTAACGCGGGTCAGGTCTGCACTGCGTCCTTGCGCATATTTGTGCATGAAAAGGTGCATGACGCCTTTGTTGCGAAGCTGAAGGCGCTGGCGGAGTCCCGCCACATTGGCCCCGGCGACGACCCCGCAAATAACCACGGCCCGCTTGTCTCGGTGCGGCAGCACGAGCGTGTGCTTGCCTACATTGAGAAGGGCAAGGGCGAGGGCGCCACGGTGGTGACGGGTGGGTGCCGGTGAGGCGACCGCGGCTACTTTGTGCGGCCCACAGTGTTCACCGAGGTGGCCGACGAGATGGCGATTGCGCGCGAGGAGATCTTTGGCCCCGTCGTCTGCGTCATGATGTTTAAGACGTTCGACGAGGCCATCGAGCGCGCCGACGCGACGACGTACAGCCTTGCGGCTGGTGTTTGCACAATGGACGTGGAAAATATTATGCACTGCGCGCCCTTCTTGCAGGCGGGTCACCGTGTGGGTGAATTGCTGGAATTCCGTCGACGTCTCCACGCCGTTTGGCGGCTTCAAGCGGAGTGGCCTCGGCAGGGAACTCGGCGAGCAGGCACTGGAGCAATACACCGAGACCAAAGCAATTCACATTGCACTGAAGGGGCCCTTGGTGAAGAATTAGTTTGAAACCTAAAAGAAAAGGCCATACATAAAACACGAGGAGCTTTCTTCTATTATTATTAATGAGTGTGTCTTATGAAAATATTATACCGAACGCAACTCACCTAAGGTGTGCTGCTATCTGGGACTTTATCTTCCTCCCTTGTTTGTTTATGAAATGCACCTGCAAGCGAGTTGAACTTTTATTGTTACCGATCCTTCTTCATCTCACGAATGTCTATGTTAAATTATTTTATTGTGGGATTTCGGTGGGTGGGTGGGTGGGTGGGTGAAACGCGCATGTGGGTCGTAGCAGCCGTGTGTGTATGTGTGTGTGAATGACTTGCCCTCTTTTTTTGATTATATATATACATGCTTTGTTTTCTATTTATTTTATTTTTATTTTTTTGTGGTGTGGACGCGGGACTCTGAGGTCGCCATTGCTTGTATGAGTGATTGCTTCGTGCAGGCATTGTATTCTCTTCCTCGCATTGTCTGCCAGCCACCGCACACCGCAACAGCAGAGAGTGTGTGGGAGGGAGGGAGCAACGACGAGAAGTGTGGCCAGCAACCCAAAGAATAAGAAAGGAACAGATAAACAAAGAAGTCTGAAGTGTGTGCTTGTGTCCTAGTGGCTTGCACACACGCACAACATTTTAGCCAAGAGGCCCGAAGCGTTGCGTTTGACGAGTCTGTTGGCGTCACAGATGCTCCTCGCGCGAGTGGAGCTTCGACGAGTGTCTTTTATAGCAGACAAGGAAGGGGTGAAGGATGCGGTGGATTCACTGCAACGATGGGTCGACACCGACGAAAAATACGGCACCGTGGAGTGCTACGTGTCGTTCGCTGCCCCGCCCGGCATGGAACTGCGCTTCCGCCGCTCACCGCCACAAGAAACGCACACGGGGGTGACTCAGGAGCTGCGGGTGTGCTGTGCGACGAACGTGGATCTGAAGGATATTTACTTTGAGGTGCAGCAAGCGTCGGACGAGCATTCAGATTTCGGCATCGAAGACGTTACGCTGCCGTGTCGCCTGTGGTGCCTGACAAAGCGGCGCAGCAAGAGCCAGGCGACAAGTGACTCCTCCCTTCATTACACCTCCTCATCTGGGGAGGACGACGATGAGAAGCCGGCGTCGAGCTGGCAGCTGCTTGCTGAGGGTGGCGTGCGGGCAGCGCAGTACGGCCTGCAGACGGTAGAGTTGGAGATGGACGCGACAGCAAAATTAAGATGTGGGGCTTCGGCGTCCGTTGTATTTTTTATTGCGCCGCGACTGCAGTGCACGGTGGAGGCGGCGGCAACGTTGCGAGCGTTGGAGGACGACGGACCTTCACCGCGGGCGCGTTTAGAGGCGCACGAAAGCTGCGGTCCCACACCTCTCCAAGGCCTCTCGTTTACTGATGATACGGAGGAGGAAGGAAATGAAGACGACACGGAAGAGGTGAAGGACGATGAGGAGGAGGATGCGGAAGAGGTGAAGGACGATGAGGAGGAGGACACGGAAGAGGTGAAGGACGATGAGAAGGAGGACACGGAAGAGGTGAAGGATGATGAGAAGGAGGACACGGAAGAGGTGAAGGACGATGAGGAGGAGGACACGGAAGAGGTGAAGGACGATGAGGAGGAGGATGCGGAAGAGGTGAAGGACGATGAGAAGGAGGATGCGGAAGAGGTGAAGGACGATGAGAAGGAGGATGCGGAAGAGGTGAAGGACGATGAGGAGGAGGACACGGAAGAGGTGAAGGACGATGAGGAGGAGGAT